TATACAACACGTGCAATGGAATTATATACACACAGGCACATACATACATCGTGTGTAGTATATATTGTGTAAGTATATATACTATATACATATATAACATGCATATACTTAAAGATTTCTTTCTGTGTCGGTGAGGAAAGCCTCTTGCTGGGAACTAATGAGAGCCTGATGTGTGGGCCTACAGCCTTTTAAAATTAATTTGGGCCCTTGGGCCTGGTTGTCATTGTTTTTGAAATGAACAATCCTAAGTGGTACAGCACTTTTCTGTCATTTCTCTGTATTGAGGTAACTTTGGATTGCTGTGATACTGAACGTTGTACCATTGGTCTGTCAAGTGCTATAATGGTCACACATGGTTGATATATCTGGTTAGCTAACAGATTAAGACAGGCTTGGAAGCAGGAGTGACATCCACTTCTCAAACATACCTATAGAAACTCTATGAACTTAGAGAAAGGACTATAGTTACAGAACAAGGTTAAAGTTTTTTTGTTTATGGGGTCAATACTAGATGGCATTTAATGACGACAACAACAACAAAATATATTGTCAACCCCTTGTCTTCCATTTTGGACCTCCATTGGCTGGACTCTCTATGATGGTGCTCTTGTTTTGGTTGAGGATCTATGTGGATTGTTTCATTGTTTAAGCTTCTTGTTTAGACTCAAGACCTGTAGGGGGACTCTTGCACTTAAGGTCAAGCCCTCGTCTCCATTTTGGTAAATGGGTGAAGTGACTGAACTTTGTAAGATGGGCTCTCTTGTTTTGTTTGATGGTCATTGTGGAATGGTTTTGGTTTTTGTTTTTCTTGTTTTCTTTTTTATTATTATTAAAGCCTCTTGTTTAGAGTCAACAGAACTTCCTGGCCTCCTGGAGGGGCCTTATATTTAATAAGTTGGGTCTGGGGGATTATCTTTTAATCCTTCACTACTATTTTTAGAGGAACATTCTTCCAAGTCATACAGCACTCTTCTGTCAATTTGCTGTGCTGAGGTAATCTGGGTTTGCTGTGATGGTGAACCTTGTACCACTGGTGTCTCAAATGCCATAATGGCTGCCCATGGTGGCCAGTGTGTGGTGGAGCTCCCAGTTTTAAGACAGGTTGAGAAGCAGGAGTTGCATCTACTTCCTAAACTGCATGCATCTGGAAATTCTATAAACTTGGAGAAACGATATAGAAAGGCCCCAGGTCTTTAGTTCATGGAGTCACTATTACTTGAGCGCAACATGATGGCAATAAAAAAACAATAACACAACATACTTAAAGAGAGCTCTGGTGGCTCTATGGTTAGGAGTTGCACTGCCAACTCAAAGACACATGGTTCAAATCCACCAGCTACTCCATGGGAGAAAGATGGGCAATCTCTTCCTATACACTACTGCCTCTGAATACCCACTGGAGGGTCAGTTACAGGTCAGTTCTGATTCAATGGTATGTAACAACAACATATATATAAATATGCACATGCACATATATGCAATATACACAATAAATATTTATTATTGTTAGGTGCCATTGGATTGGCTCCAAATCAAAGTACACGTATGACAGAATGAAACACTGACCAGCCCATACCATCTGTGCAATCCTGTACCATTCTTTTCAGTCTTTGCTGGATAAAAGGCCATTGTTGCAAACAGTGGATCAATCAAACTCATTGAATATATTCTTTGTACCTTGCAAAGCATGATGTCTTCTTTAGGGGCTACCTTCAGTCCCAATATGCCCAAAGTACATGTCTTCTTGAGCCACCTATGAAATATTTTATTGTGCTCTCTTCATCACTTTCTGCATTGCTTTTAGCTTCTTTGCCTTCAAGAGCAAATTTAAAGTCTCTTGTTACATCTATTACAGTCTTGTATTTTCCTTCTTTCCTGTCTTTTAAATAATGTTCTGTTTTCATCATGTGTGATGCTCTTGATTCCACTCCATAACTCTTCTGATCTTGAGTCATTTGTGTTCAATACATAGTCTGCGATGTATTGAGAGGTCATTGAGTTGTCATCTGGATGTGAGTGGCGTATACTCCAGATTGTATTTTTACACTCATGGACTTTTCATTTTTTTTCTGATCCAACCTGACCTTGCATATGAACAAATTATGTTCTGCCACACAGTTGACCCCTGTCTTGTTCTGACTGATGATACTGAGTTCTTCCACTTTTTCCACAGTCATAATCAATTTGATTCTTGTATTGTCTAAAGAGGAGAAAGCAGGACATGGAGGCACAAGGCCATGAACATCTCTCTGAAAGGGCCAGAGAGAGAAAGAATAACAGCCTCTCACCTCCCCAAAGCAAAAAGTAGATCAGGAGCAAGTAGCCCTGTCCCATGGTACCTCTACTTCTTCAGCAGCAGAAGTTCGTTTGTTTGTTGCTGACTCACCGACTTACAGTTGTGGTACCAATGAAAGGGTTTATTAGGGAAGGAAGTTGAAGAGTGGAGGAGGCAGAATATCACATTATCACCCAAAATAATTAGCCCAACAGTTCCAAGGCACAACTCCTCAGTTAGTCCAGTCTCTTGTTTCAGGTCAGCAAGCAGCTTTTCCTTTCATCAACAAAGGCAAGAACAGCAATTTCCAACTGTGGCCAGGACAAATGTAAGAAGCTTCAGGTCACACCTTGCCCCCATTTGTCCACAGCAATCCCAGTCTTTCCACCACCAGGATCTCTTACCAGGGACTTGCCTTCACAAGCCTTGCTCACTACAAGCTTTGCTCACATCGTCTTGCTGCTCCAAATCTTCTTGCCTGGTGTGAGAAGTACTCTTTATATTGTTGCTTCACCTGTTGATGATCAGCAAAACCATGCTGATTTGCAAGACCACGTGTCTGCAGTTAAGGTATTAGGAGACAAGAGGGGCTAAATAATGGCTAAAAAAAACTAACTTGGAAGTTACTACAAATGTCTATCCAATGAGATCTTGTTGTCTATCTACCAGTCAATATTTCCCCATCTTTTAATTTTATTCACCAATAATTATTAATTAATCCTAGTTTTAGACTTGATTTTTTTTGTTTAAAGATTTTATTTTAAAACATTGAAAGAATGAGAGTTTGCCAAGAAAACTGTTTGTCAATGGACCGGCATGACCAGCGCCTGTGTTCTAGGCAGTGGAAGGGGGTGCGGGGAGGGATTTCTAGCCTCCTCATGCAGATCACTTGGCTTCATTTATGTAAAACAGACAGTTATCTGAGATGTGCCAGGCACATGGGAGTCACTGGTGAACACAACAGAAAATTCTCCTCCATGTTCAAATTTACAGTTTCATGCAGTTTCAGAACAAGGGGAAAGTATAGTCATTAAAGAAATTGTGTGGCATGTTCTCTCTCTATGGATGGGGCAGTGTCTCAGGAAGCTGCCAATGTGTTCGGATCCTTGTGTAAGGAAATCTCTGGTGAATCTTCACATGGCGATGGATGTGGGTGACGGCGGAAAATGCTTCCGCCAAGCAGAGCACCTGTCGGCCTTCTCTCCCCCTAGCAGGGCACCTGTCAGGCTTCTCTTCTTTGTGGATCCATTCGTGAGCCGTCGCTTGGTTTTAGGGATGAAGCCTCTGCTGCTGAAGCCATATTTGAAGGGCCTTTCTGGCCTGGGAGTCCCCTGGACACTGTCTGGGCTGACTGCTGGAGGAAGCTGTTGCACATAGTTACAAACATATAAACACCATGCTCTCTTTGACGATCCATTAACTGAAAGAGATGCTTAAAGACCTTGAAACATTGTGGACATGGATACTGTGTGAATAGTCCTACACTTTCTTCCTCTTTTCTTCCATCTGGAAATGGTCTCTCACTGCTCCTCAGTGCATGACCAGGCTCAGGGGTGGCTGGGTCCAGCCTGGATATCAAATCTATAGGGACATCCTCTTCCTGAGGTCCTGAGACACCTAGGCCTGCATTTTTGGTGGTGGTGTTTTTTTGCGTTGTGCTGACCAGCTTCTCCTTTAGGTCTTGAAAAATTATCTTTCCGGATAATCTGTCAGAAATGTTCTAGATTGTGTTCTCTGTTAAGAAGGTCATGTTTTGGTGTCATTATCAAAGCCAGGCTGCTGCTGTCTTCTTCTTCTCCTTCCTTTTGAGTGTGGGGCTCTTCTGGAAGAACTTGGAGGGGGGTCCTCATGCTCCTTCTTTTCAGGTTCACAGGCAATTTTTTATTGAAGTGAAAAATAACCTCTTTTAAGGACATATACCTAGGAAAGAAGGCTTGTTGTCCCTGCATGTGGACTCGGACACAGTCAGTTGGTCCCAAGCAATGAGTTTTTAAGTCTTACATCAACTTCTCCAGGTTTCTGCCGCTTGAATGCTGTAATTCTCACAAAGTGTGGTTACTTGTGGGGCTTTAATGCCCTCTAAGCTTCTCTAGAACCGATTTGGAAATAATTTGCTTCTTGCTGTGTTTCTCTGGCTACAGCGAGGAGTGAAAACTCTCGTGGTGTCTTTGGAGTTCTTCTATTTCAAATGAGTTAAGTACATATTGAGATAGGCCAAGAAGAGAGCTTTGGAATCCAGACAGCCCATCACTGTTCTCAACATCATGTCTTAGGGTGGAATCAGACTCTTGATTTTCTGATTCAGGATTGGATGTGGATGGTTCATTTTGAAAGTATTTTTTTTAATTTTATTAATGAACATTTACAGAGATTTTGGATTTCCATTCATTCACCATTGCACTTTTTTCTCTACCTCCTCCCCCCCCCCCCCCCAGTTTGTTCCTCTCTTTGAAAAGCAAAAGATAAACTTCTTCATTGATATACAATCCACTTTCCCCCTGCCCTCCCCCCTCCAAATGCACTCCACTACGCAACCTTAACACTTAAAGCCGTGCTTGGCAAAACGGCAAAGAGATTCCACTTGGAGACACAGGGTTTCTGCTAACAAGTGGTGGAACATCAAAGGCTTATATTCTGGAACAGTTCAATCTCCTTGGTCAAATGCTCAGACTATATTCTTGGGCTGCACTCTGCTTGATTACTTTTTAGATTCTAGCTCTGGTAGTCTAGTGACAAGAAACTGTGATGCAATCCCAAAGGCACCTGGTTAGAGGACACCAGCTGCTCTGTAGGTGAAGGATGGACAATCTCCTCCTGTGAGATTAACTGCTTCTGAAAACTCACCAGAAGGACATCAGCTATGAGTCAAGATAGATATATAGAGAGACATCAATATAGGCGCGCACGCACACACACACACACACACACACACACACACACACACACACACATCTTACTCTTGATGAATATCTAGACTGTTTTCACCTGTGGGTTATTGTAAAGAATGTTGCAATGAGGTATTTGCCTCAAGTATATATATATATACCTAGAAGTAGAATTCTGAGTAATGTAACAATTCTGTTTAAACTGTTTGAGGAGCAAATTGTTTTCCACAGTGACTGCATCATTTTACATTTCCACCAGTTTGCAAGAGACTCTACTTTCTCCACATGTTGACACAAAGTCCAACACCTCCAAACTGCTGTTACTCTGTCATCTCTAATGTTCTTCCTTCCATCAACCCTCTCCCTTGTATGTCTTTGTGTTACATAATTGCTTCAACTTCTTGCAGAAACTCACACACTGTTAACAAAGCAGCTTACACAGTTAGCTTCAGTGTGGTAGACTCAGCTGACCTACATGGTCCCAGGTACTAATTAACAATAGGTAGCTTGGCTTATCCACAATTAATACTGTTGGTACTAGCAGTCAGAAAATAAGGAGACACATTGCACTGGGAAAATCTGCAGGTTTCCTTTCCAAATTTTTGAGGAGTAATGGTGTCAGTTTGAAGACTGACTTCTGAAAGCTGAACAATGAATAAGGATGACAGAAAAAGAATTGACACCTTCGAGTTGTGGTGTTGGAGAAGAGCACTGAACATATACCATGGACAGCCAAAAGAACAAACAGAACAAACACTATCTTAGAGATGGTGCAGTCAAAGTGCTCTTTGGAGGCAAAAATGATGAGACTTCTCCTCACATACTTTGAGCATGTTGTTAGGACGTGGTATTGCTTGGAGAAGGAGATGGTGCTGGGAAGGTTGGAAGGTCAGAGAAGGAGAGAAAGACCCTTAACCAGGCAGACTGACACAGTGACTGCTGCAATAGGCTCTTGAAGTCAAGAAGTGTGAGGATGGAAGAGGATAGAACAAGGTTCAGATCTTTTTCTGTTTGTAGGGTTACTATGAAGCATACTATACTCGAAGGCACTCAACAACAACAACAACAACCTTCAATTGACATTCATTTAACCTTAGCACCATATGAAAACTTTCCTCCTTTGCAAATTTATCCTCCTTTATGTTAAAGTCACAAATCACACTGTCTTGTAGAGTATGCAAATAAACACAATCTATAACTCCTCTTATGCATTTGTCTTGTAAATAATGTTTTGGTAAAACTCATCACTGTCAAGTCAGAATAGATTCATAGCTGACCCTCTGGCTGGATTTTGAAGGCTATAAACCACAGGAAAGGAGGTGACTGCCCATCTTTCTCCCAACGATCCCTGAATGTATCAGAACCACCATATTTCGATTAGCAGCACAACTCTCTGTTGGCTATGCTCCCAGAACTCCCTTTTACATCACATAGGGCATAAAAAAGTGGAATTGTAATACAAAAAAACAGTAAAAATTGCCTTTCTGTGTGCCCAAGTAGTTATTGTTCCTAGATATTTTTATTTCTTCCTATGATTTGGGTTTTTTTCCTAGTGTCTTTTCACTTCAACTTGATGGATTCTCTTTATTTTTTGTTACAGGGATATCTAGTTGTTAGGAACTATTAGAGTTTTTGTTCATCTGTGAATGCTTCACGTTTGTCCTCATTTTTGGAGGACAGTTTTGATAACTACATAGTTATTGTTTGGCAGTTTTGTTATTTGTGTGTTTTGTTTCCTTTTCAGTACTTTACAAGCAGCATGCCACTGCCTCTGTCATCTACAATTTTTAATGAGAAAATGGTTGTTAATATTTTTAAAGATCTTTGTAATGAATTAGTTGCTTCTCTCTTGCTGTCATCATAGTTTCATTTTGTTTTCCAACAATTTGATCATTCACTGTATTGCTGTGAATTTGCTTGAGTTTATCCTAAGGGAGTTCATTGACCTTCTTAAGTGGATAGACTCATGTCTTTCATAATACTTTGGAAGTTTTCAGAATATTATTTCTTAAAATATTCATTCTATCAATTTTTCCCCCTCCTTTGAACTCTTGTAATACATGTTGGTTGATGATGGTCTCTTTAATTTCTGTTTCATTTTCTTCAGTTTTTTTCTTTCTGCTGCCTTGACTGGATAATGTCAGTTGCTTTGTTGAGCTTACTGATTTTTTATTGTATCTGCAAAAAGTTGCTGTTGTATCCGTCAAGTCACACTTGAATTTCAGTTATTATAATTTTCAGTTGCAGACTTATGTTTTTTCTTTTTTATCTTTTCCCCCTTATTATTATTATTATTATTATTATTAATTTTAATGAAAATTTACAGGTACTTTGGATTTCCAGTCATTCATTGTTGCCCTTTTCTCCCTAACCATGCCCCCTCCCCTCAAGTTCACTCTTTGAAAAGTAAAAGACAAATTCTTTCATTGTTATCCAGTCCCTCTCCCTAGGTCCACTCCACTATGCAGCCTTCATTCCAGACTCCTGTCATGACAATAACACCTAATCACATATCCCTTTTAAGCAGTTGTCTCCTTAATCTGTTTCAATGCAGTATGCATTATTTATCCCATCTTTCTCAATCATTCCCAACCCCGATGTCAGTCCCATTTTACAACAGTGGTACTATGCAGTATTTGTCCTTTTGTGACTGAAATATTTCACTCATCATAATGTCCTCCAGGGTCACCATTTTGAATAATATTTCATGCGTTCCTTGTTTTTCAATGGCGCGTAATATTCCATTATGTGAATATACTGCAGCTTCTCTATCCATTCGTTTGTTGATGGGTGCTTAGGTTGTTTCCAACTCTGCTATTGTTAATAAAGCTACAATAAACATGGGTGTGCATATATCTGCCTGAGTGTCAGTTATGGTCTCTTTGGGGTATATTCCCAGTAGTGGAATTGCTGGGTCAAATGGTATTTCTATTTGCAACTTTTTGAGAAAGCACCACACGGTCTTCCAAAGTGGTTGCACCATATTACACTTCCACCAACAGTGAATACGTGTTCCAGTTTCTCCACAACCTTGCCAGCATTTGTTGCTTGCTGTTCTATTAAATTTGCTATTCTGACTGGGGTGAGATGATATCTCATAGCTGTTTTGGTTTGTTTTCTTTTTATAATATCTTTTTGTTGATATTCTAATTTTATTCATACACTACCTGATTTTCTTTACCTCCTTATTCACGTTTTTTCTTGATCTCCTTGAGCATAAAAGATAGTCATTTTAAAGTCTTTGTAAGTCCAAAGATTTCATTTCTTTAAGGATAAATTCTGTTATTTTTTATTGTTCTTTTTTTATATTTTTTTAATTTTTTATTTTAATTTTTTTT